AAAAAGAAACCAGGTGTTTCTGGTTAAAATTTGAGATAAGTGAGAGAGAGTACCTCTGAGGATGGATATAAAGAGTCACATTTAGAGGACAGGCATCAGAGTGAAGAGAGAAAACGAGCAGCGTGCCGCAAGGGTGTGTGCTAGGCTCCATAATTTTACTAACATTGACCTAACAGAAAGTTGACTCCTTCAAATCGTTGTTTGCCGACGACGCGAGATAAATAAAAACTAATCAAAACAGAAAGGGACTGTGCTACGATGCCAAGATAACTAAGATCTCCAGAGGTGTTCTGAACATAGGCTACTGGACTTTAACTGAGACAAATGCAAAGTTATGAGAAAGAAATCAGGATTAAAACCACGTGGAAATAAATAGTGCGTAATGAAGGAAAAACAAATGCCTGCTCGGTCGAGTATACATCGCTAGACTTGGATACCATACATGGGGTTAGGATTCCACGCTCCGCCTGGCAGTTCAACTCCAGTCACTACAACTCTGCCTTCGCTCTGTCAGACGCACGTTCGCCAGAGTGTGCTTACGATCAAGTCTGGTTACAGAACGTGATCTTTCCATGTGCTGACGCTTAAAAGAAAACAATTATCTTCAGAGCCCGATTTTGTTCAGAGGATTATAGCAAAGTAAGTCTTTCGTGGGGCTTTTTTTTTCTCGAAGGGAATTTAGAATTGAAAATTATGGAATGTATTGCCAAAAAAAGGGATTTAAAACAATTACGAGCATCATCAAACTAAGAGCATAATTAAATAATTTTACAAATAATTATACAAATGTATATTTAATTGTAAATTGCATATTAGTGCTTGATCGTTAATCGTTTTTTTAACACGTAATAATTATTTTATAATTAAGAGTCAGTTCAGGCATATTATTATTAGCCAAGAAATGTTAAATGCTGCAGTTCTCATCGAGTAATTGTTCTCGCTGTCATTCTCAGTCTCTCTCTCTCTCTCTCTCTCTCTCTCTCTCTCTCTCTCTCTCTCTCTCTCTCTCTCTCTCTCTCTCTCTCTCTCTCTCTCTAACTAAATCTGTGGTCACCTAGGAGTATAACTGGTGTTCTTAATGACACTGCGAGCCAGGAGTTGTTATCGACATCATCTCTCTCTTTTTTTTCCTTCTGTTTCCCTCAATTTGCAAAAGACGATTACGTGGCATGTGGCAAAGACTCCATTACACGATCACTAATTTAAGTACCCCCCAAGACACAATTTAAAGAGGGCAGTAACATATAATTACCTCCTCCTCGGGGCGATCACATCTCATGTCAGTCACCCGCCAGTCCCATCATTATATCTTGAATAGTGCAAGTGGGGAATGGAGTAATTAAGAACACAGCCTTATAAGGACCTCCTCCACCATCATGATACTCCATTGACTTGTTTTTTGTTATTTTTTTTTGTTTTGTTTTAAGGTCCAGGCCGTTCAAGATGGACTTCATTTTCCTCCTATTTTTTTCTAACTCAAGAATTTGTGTTTTTGTGCAGTCGAAAGTTGTAAAGTTTCAGACCTTTTTGTTTGTTCTTTTGGATCTTGTCGTGAGTCCAGTCTTGGCGGCATCTTGTACTTTGGGATCTTCAGGCCATATATAGGATTTTCTGCTTTGGTCGTCCATCGAGTTATAAGACATATTGCTGAGTACCAGCTGTGCCAGCCTCAGTCCTAGCCTCAGTCCTAGCCTCAGTCCTGTCTCAATCCCAGCTGTGGTAACTGCCTCAGTCCTAGCTGCCAGAGACCCCCCCCCCTATCCCCCATCCCCCCACTCATCATAACAAGGCACTCTGGCCAGCTTTTCATTACAGCAATTGCATTATATAAGACTTATATCAGGTAGTTCCCTCCCCCTCTTCCCCTCCTTACTTATAATTCAATTTTAGGTTATACGTCATAAATCAGATGTAATTCGCGGAGCAAAGTGGCTCAAGAAGTCTAATGCTACACCGCGTCCTGTGAAGACAGTTGCTTAGCAATTTAACCTCCGTTGTCGAGGGATTGACTGGGCTCTCGCTCACCACCGGCTTCAGTGAGGCCAGGATGCGACCAGTTAGATTGTGACGTAGTTAGCAATGAGATTATTATGTTGGTAAGGTTCCACCATCACCAACAGAATGTTGGAAGCCCGCCCCTTCCCCCCCTCCTCCTAGTGTGTATGTCGTGCAAGAATGATGGTGGGAGCTTGTAGTGTGAGCTGCCTCACACAGTGATAGTGGTAGCCCCCCTAGTGTGTTGCCCGAGGGTGATAATAAGAGCCCCTAAGTGTGAACTGATCCATAGTGACAATGGGAGCCCCTAGTGTATGATACCTCAGTGTGATATTGGGAGCCCCCTAATGTATGATACCCCAGAGTAATAATGGGAACCCCCTAATGTATGATGCCTCACTGTGATATTGAAACACACTATTGTGTGACGCTTCAGATCCCCACCAAGGGGATACACGCGCTCCTGTAATATTTGTATATTGAAATGTGCAATTAAAATGCCATGAGCCTCCAGTTCCTATGAACGTCTCGGAGGGTTCCTCAGAAGACCACGTCTGTTGCTCCACACCTGTCACTATATTACTCAGGAAGAGACGTGAAGATTTGAAAAACTGTATTTTCTGTACATTCTCGTGACGGCGATGAGCCGAGGCTCTGACTAGAGAGCCACGAGAGACCAACATACATCACCGCCAAAGCAAAACAATAAATGACTCTGGTGACCTTTTGTGTTGATTCTCTTGGTCAATCCTCTAAGACGTAGGTTCGAACCCTCGTCACGGCCTTTGTGGGATTTGTTCAGTAAAGCAGCTGCTCCTTCAGCTATGTAAACTCGCACGATACCGGCTACGTGTGTTTGTGGAAGATCTTTTTCTGATTCTGTGGGTGTCTACCTTACACTATTTTTTTCAATAGGACATCAAGCGGAGAGATCTTAATGCATATATATTATTTACTGTTGTAATTAGTGGTATTATCTTCAGATATTTATATGATTTGTCTTAGTTTTACGAAGTTTAGTAAAAATTTGAGGGGAGTGGTTTCTACTCTTGACGGTGAAGCAATATGTGGCAGGTCACTACATCAAGGTGTCACACACCACCACCACCAGTGTCAGTAAGGTCACTACATCAAGGTGTCACACACCACCACCACCAGTGTCAGTAAGGTCACTACATCAAGGTGTCACACACCACCACCACCAGTGTTAATAAGGTCACTACATCAAGGTGTCACTGTTAATAATGTCACTACATCAAGGTGTCACACACCACCACCACCAGTGTTAATAAGGTCACTACATCAAGGTGTCACACACCACCACCACCAGTGTTAATAAGGTCACTACATCAAGGTGTCACACACCACCACCACAGTGTTAATAAGGTCACTACATCAAGGTGTCACACACCACCACCACCAGTGTTAATAAGGTCACTACATCAAGGTGTCACACACCACCACCACCAGTGTTAATAAGGTCACTACATCAAGGTGTCACACACCACCACCACCAGTGTTAATAAGGTCACTACATCAAGGTGTCACACACCACCACCAGTGCCAGTAAGGTCAATACATCAATGTGTCCGACACCACCACCAGTGCCAGTAAGGTCAATACATCAAGGTGTCAGACACCACCACCAGTGTCAATAAGGTCACTACATCAAGGTGTCAGACACCACCACCAGTGTCAATAAGGTCACTACATCAAGGTGTCAGACACCACCACCAGTGCCAGTAAGGTCAATACATCAAGGTGTCCGACACCACCACCAGTGTCATTAAGGTCACTACATCAAGGTGTCCGACACCACCACCAGAGTACTGCTATTATCCGGAATTGAATATTTTGACAACTCATTCTTGCCTCGCATCAGATGGCACCAAATAGTAAAAAATGGAACCCGAACGTGATGAAATCTTGTGCAACGGCAAACTTGCCATGATCAAGATTAATATTGACGAAACCACATTAAATTCTCTACTGTATTTGCGAGCGCGCATCATCTACACACAGAGAGGTGTCTAACTCTATATGATCTAAGGTGCAAGGAATATTGCATGGATATTCCTGCGCGGGCCCTAAGCCTCTGGCTGACCAACTCTCTTGTAAATAAATGGCAAGTAACTCCAAAACTATTTATTTAATGTCAAACACACCCGCACTGCTCCGGCAGCTGACCGTTCACAACATGTATCGCTCTTGCTTTCCACACAACCCTTCGTCTTAGCTAATAGGTCGCGTTTTGTACGTAATGGCATGCAACTTACTAAAGAATGAATCACAAATATTCACGATTACGTTACCTCGGACTTGATAGGTTGGGTGGGTTGTTTGGGTTGTTAAGTTTTTGGTTAGGTTAGAAGGTGGGGTCTTGAACGGAGTGAGAAATCAAGAGAACGTGCCGTTCAGCAACCAAGTAACTGACATTAGGAATATAACAAATAATAATAATAATAATAATCACAGAGAAATCACACTAACATGATATATATATCAATGAGAAAATCCACTAGGGCTGTGAGGTGGGCTCGAACTTACGACCAAGGCATTGCCAAGCCGCGTACTCTACCACTCGATAATAATAATAATAATAATAACAACAAGGAAGATAGTGCCACCTGGAGCAGTTTATCGAGCGCAACAAGAAAAGGAAATTACAGGTCGGTGTTCTTGGTCGATTGGTGGTGTGTTTTTGTTACACTGATCGAGTGGTGGTGTTTGCTACTCAGGTCGAGTGGAAGAATTTGCACTCATTTTTTTTAATTTCGTCACTGGAAGAAATTTAGTCAACAAACACTAAAAAACACTAAAAGGAAGAAATTCGATATTCACGCTTGCAGAAGGAAGAACCCCCAATACACAACAGAGATGGCAACAAACCCTGACAGCGTCAGAAACATAAACAGCTCCATAAAAGGTGGTTTATGACAACAAAGCCTTGACACCCACTGATATCTACCGTCACTCGGCAGCTACATAACCTTCCGTACACTCACCTGCAGGAAAATTCTTGCTCTGTCAGGCAGAGGACCTGACATTCCTGGCGGCTGGTGACGCGCTGGCTCTTCTTGGAGAAACCTTCCATTTCGAATCCCATGACTCTCTCGAAGCTCCAGGCGCGGTCGCAGGACGGGGAGTTGGCCAGGCAGTTCTTCTGGACGTAGAGCGTGAACACCGGGAACTGAGAGGAGGTGAGGGAACCTGTGGGCATGGAGAGGGAAGGGTATGTTAGTGGGTGGTGGGTTACAGTAGTGGGTGGTGGGTTACAGTAGTGGGTGGTGGGTTACAGTAGTGGGTGGTGGGTTACAGTAGTGGGTGGTGGGTTACAGTAGTGGGTGGTGGGTTACAGTAGTGGGTGGTGGGTTACAGTAGTGGGTGGTGGGTTACAGTAGTAGATGGTGGGTTACAGTAGTGGATGGTGAGTCACAGTAGTGTGTGTGAGCGAGGGGTATGTTAGTGGGTGGTGGGTTACAGTAGTGGGTTACAGTAGTGGGTGGTGGGTTACAGTAGTGGGTGGTGGGTTACAGTAGTGGGTGTGAGAGAGTGTGTAACCTTAGACACAATTGAAAATGTATTCCTTGTTGGAATGCACATTTGGGTGTTTATTGTGGTGAGAGAAAATGTTTTTGTTAGTGTGTTTGTCTCTAAATTTACGTTAGAAACTGTTTTTGTATTTATAATTGTGCTTCAAAAGGGGATTTTCGGAATGATCGGTTTACACATATTGAGATATATCTGCTTTTAGCAGTTAATGTATAATTTATAATGTTGTATAGATATGCGTGTCTGTTTAAGCTATCCAGCTTTTAAATTAGTTCTTATATAATTATTTAGAAAGTAAAATGGGCATATTACCATTTCACAAACTTTGGTTAAATAAACATACAATTAAGTGCATTCTTTGAAAGCAAACTGGCTTGAGGCATCTAACACAATTATGTGATTTCTAGAAAGGTAAAACATATAACAGTTTAGTGAAAAATATACAAAAAAATAAGTAGATTAAAATAGTTCAGGAACAGTATTTTGTAAACCAACAACTGTGCCAAGGAATTGTAGGCATCTTAGACTCACGTAAGGTTCACTAGGAACCTTACACCTGTTAATGTCGTGTATATCTTCTATTGTTAGTACCTAAGTTCCACGACCGTCCAGAGAGAGTCAGACGAACCAGACAGATAGATATCGTTGATGTGTTCTGGTAATACTATTTATTTCCACACTTAAACGGAATTCACAACCGCCAATTTCTTCCCTTTTACGTTTGCAATTCAATTGATGTTAACCCCTGCACTGCGCACCTGTTTTGGCAAAAATTTCATGGTGCAGTTGTTAAGGACATATGTTTGTTGTTTTTATAAATGTTCAGCCAATGTTAATGTCAAAATGTTTCCTAACTCAATCATTTTCATTTCAAATCACAAAAAGTGATGAAAATATTAAAAAAAAGCCTTAAAATATGGCCTAATTAAAACAAATAACACAACCCTCAGAGTGCCTTAAGGTGCTTTGCGCAGAGCAACGAGCTTTTCTATTCTACTTCAGTGCTTGGAGGGCCAGTCAGCCCAACGCAAGACCTGTACGAATTGCATCAAAATCTAAGCCAATCACCAACGACGCTTCATGTGTAACTAAACTAAAGGCAGGTAAGTTACGGCAAATGGACTCGAGAATTTCATGGCTCGTAAAATCTTAGTAGCGGTGAGCATTTGCGGTAACGCCCGGTCATGACCGAGCTGGAGCGTGGCGTAGTGCGTCAAGCAACTGTTGTACGCACAGATGTCGTTCAGCACAGTCGATTACACCCGTTCCAAATTCATGAGCGTGATTGAGTCAGGATTACTGGGCCGTCTGCCCTCATCAGGAGGTGGAGCCAAGACACCAGCGGCACAACTCTTTTCAGTAACTTAGAAGGGGCTTAACAATATAGCTGTGAGTACGATATAAACGATGCGCAATTTTTGTATTCTATTCCAGTCTTATATTTTGCCTGACAGACAGTTGTCTTTGGGAGGAAAATCATCATATGGATGGATACAGGAAATCAGGGTTAAAATTCTTAAGAATCTCTTCCTACTCTGTATTCTCTTCGGCTTAACAATGACGTTTGAAAATTGTTGTAAAAAAATACTAAGTTGGGGTGAAAATTCCATGTAAGTTGACCAGAAAGAAAAACAGCTGGATCGATAGAGACAGAAAAATAAAAAATAAAAGATTGAACTGATAATACCGGATTTGCATAAACTTCAGCCCTTTGATCAGAGTCACAAAATCTTCTCACCATGACGACGTCAATGAGCCAGAATACAACACGAATTCTTCCCTCACGCATAAAATTCACAACCAGAACACCATTAGTACTGAGAGGGAGAGAGTGAGAGGCAGGGAGGGAGGGAGAGGGAGAGGGGAAGAGAGGGAGAGAGACAGAGAGGGGGGTGAAGGGATGCCAGTAATGACTATCCTGCACCTCGGAAGCAGTTCTGTACTCTTCATGCACCATAAGTGATGGAGGACACAGGAAGACATTCAGGTGAGGTGTCGTGGCACAGGAAAGGGAAGGGGGAGAGGAACGAAGGGAAAGAGAAGGAGAGGAGGGGGAAGGAACAAAGAGAAGGAGGAGTAGAAGGAGGGGAGGAAGAGGTAAGCACAAAGTTATTGCCCCATGCAGGCTTCATCACGCATGCCTTCTCAATCTCCCCTTCTTCCCATTCACCCCCCCTCCCCCCCCCCCTCCACGAACTTCCATCCGCAGTGTAACTAAGCCTTGGGTAACCTTGCGAAGAATGCCGCACGCCAACACGCACGCACGCACGCACTAATGTACCCTCCAACTAACACATTCATACGTGACCCCCTCATCCATCACCTTCCCTTCCTAGCCTTAATTATAGAAAAGGTATAGACATACAACAAGAGATTTACTCATAACTAATATTGTTTAACAAAAATCAGACTTTTGTCCTGTTAAGTACAAAAGACTACTTAGCGTCAATAAAGCCTAATAACGAGACCAAAATACCAAGAACACAATACCGAAGAACGCACTTAACACCAAGAACAATTACAGTTGTCAAGAATACTTAGTAGTAATAGCTATATCATCATCCTTCCCCTAACACGCCGTCGCCGCCTCCACAACATTGACAGTTACTGCTGAGCGCGGAGGAAGAAGTCGCGGTCATCAAGCCTGGAAACCGTCCACCAAGAGGTCGAGCAGTGCTCGGCCAGGGTTAATGATGGCTCGGACAGCTCGACTGGGGCTTGGGGTGGCTAGGCCGGGATTGGCATGGGCTCGGACAGGGATGGCGGTGGCTAGCGGAGACTAGGAATAGCTCAGCCGGGGTTAGAGCATTCAAATGAATCCCGGGTTGCATTGCCTTTTTGACCATGTCATGGTGGTGGAGTGGTCTAAGGCGTGTGCTTGGGGAGTACCAAGTGTGCGGGGTTCGAATCCTCCTCATGGCTCCTACTGATTTTCCTAGTTACATATGACTCTGTATTATTAACTGTTAACAACAGCCTTCCCAGGCGGCTTGAGACACGGATGTGTACTTACTGTAGCGTTGAAGTCACCCACGACAAATTAATTGTTTATGTTCATAAGGGTTATTTTTTATTATTATTATTATTATTATTATTATTATTATTATTATTATTATTATTATTATTTTTTTTTTTTTTTTTTTAAATGAATGAAGCTCGCAGGTAACTTAAAAGAAAGAAGTGGGTGTGACTAAACTGCTTAAGAACTGAAGATAATTTTGAAGGTGCTGAAGATGCAGCAGCATATTCAGGCTGCTAGCAGCCGCGTCCAACAGCCTGGTTAACCAGACCACCAACCAGAAAGCCTTATCTGAGACCGAGCTACGGGGACATTGATCTTCGGAATCACCACAAGGTAGGTGGACTCTGAGGGACCGAGGGGGAAGGGGTGGCGGGGATTCTCAGAAGGAACCGGGGTGGGGGACTTTGTGGGACCGAGGGAGACTGAGGGACCTAGGAAACGTCTGAGAGAAAGTTTGGGGGAAGGGTGAGTCTGAGGAACGCAAGGGGGTGGGAAGCGGGGGAATTCTAAGATGCCGGAGACTATCGCATGCCAAGGCGGCCTCTGAGAAAAAGCGGGGGATACCCTTTGGAACCAAGATGGACTCAGAGATGGACTTATTTCCAGGGGGAATACGAAGTTCGGGTACTATGTTGGAAGAGTTCCCAGAGGCTCACGACTCTGGGAACTGAAGATATGTTTTGAAAAGTACCTCACCCGCAGCTGCTGAGTGATACCCGTCTCTTTGGTCCCATCTGTCACTCACCCGTCGCTCAGGTCCCACCTGTCACTCACCCGTGGCTCTCATCTCACCCGCCTCACCGCCCCGTGTTTGCCTGTGATGGCTGGTGTTAACACCCGGAGAGCGACTTGACTGGGAGTAGATTATGTACTCTTTCTTACACTTCCGGGCTTCTTGTCACAAGGGCGGAAAACTTAATCAGAAAACACGATTGTGTAATTGGCTGCCACATCCTCGTTACGGTTACTATCGCGTCTGTTATAGTCTTTGGCAACTTGAAATCTTGTGTTGATGTCACTGTAAAAACGCGACCGGCCTCCCGTGGAAGGTTTTCCTGTCGTTCCTGTCACTGCTGTGGAGGGTTTTACTGTCACTGCTGCGGAGGGTTTTACTGTCACTGCTGTGGAGGGTTTCACTGTCACTGCTGTGCAGGGTTTTACTGTCACTGCTGTGGAGGGTTTCACTGTCACTGCTGTGGAGGGTTTACCCCTCTGTCTCTGCTATGGAAGTCTTACCCTCTCACTGCTCTGGAACGTTTCACTGTTACGGCTGTGGAGGGTTCCTCTCGCCAGGCTGTGGAGGGTTCCTCTCGCCGCGCTGTGGAGAGTTCCCATCTTCCGGATGGCTACTGACGCATCTCTTGGACTCGTCTCTACTGTAGCGTTGAAATCACCCGCTCGTAAAAAAAATATTCAACCATTCATTTCTCACTTTTTTATTGTACATTATCCATATCCAACAGGTTTTGTATTTGATTTTTTTGGACGTTTATTAAGGGATATATTTTATAAATATTTTTTTTTAATAATTGTGTTCATTCAGTAATTGTAAACGTCCAGTTGTTTTTCCAGGATGAACAGTTATCCGTTGGCAAGCCGCCTTCACGGCAGGAATAAGGGGGGTTATTGTTCGCTG